ACGGTGTTCCGAACTTCGTCCATCGTTCAAATTACTGTTGGAGTAATATCTGTGTCGCAACATCGTTCCTTGTTATGGCATTTTCAATTGCTGCAACCGAACACTGCACTTCGTATTGTTCCAGCTCGTTTTGTATTTTGGGTTTCTAGCCTTACGTCAATTTATTTAATAACACGATACAGAAAATAGTGTTTCAATCTCGGTATTGGCAGTGACGTAAAAATAACACGTAATAACTTCGACACATAAATTCACGTTGCATCTAATATAATTACCAACAATTACTGTCAACGCTTGAGTGGCGCTAGTGATCACTTCCGCCAAACTTGTATTTCCCTCCAAGTCTGGAAATTCTTTTGATTAACGTAAATTTGGAGTTCGAGTTCGCAATTGTTCGATAAGACACAGGTTTTATATTTCGCATAAAACGTGACTTTCAAAGTCAGGCTCACACTTACTTGCTAGTCTCGTCAACGCTTTACTATTACTACACTACCTTATACTGATTATTATTCACACAGCACAGTTCACTTCCTCCTACGTACGAACGTGGCAATGTTTATTACAGTACAACACAAAACAAAACACGATGCAAGTAGTCAGTGAATGCTCGGCTATGTTCGGATATTTCCGCCGATATTCGGCCCTGTTAAAAAAACGATCTAAGGTAACTGGCAAGGGTCAAAGGTCACGAAAACTGGCTTGCCCAGAAACGAACTGATGGTGTTGGGTTTCTTTTACAAAACAAAAAAATAAGACTGAGGCCAACGACCTCAGTGGGTACTGGTACATGATGATAACTCACTGAAAAGTGGGGTTAGGATATTTCTTGTAACCATAAAATATTTTAAGGGTACATGCACAACACAGTGGTCTTGCTGCATCCAAAGCGAGGCAAATTCCTAGGCCCTTTTACCGGTGGGGTTAAATATTGGGCAGCACCATTATGTGGGCAAAATACCAATGGATGAAGACTATAAAATTGTTCAGGGGTGACAAACAACTAACCATCCATCAGATAAACTAAAAATTTCATTTTACTCTAACATGATTTAAATTTTACTGAAAGTTAATAAATTTTATGACTAACCTGTCTGAAACAAGACAACTCACAAGTACCAACCGGTAACCACAATCTTAAATTTATTATGTTTAATGTTCATTCGTTTCTACTGCCAATTGAAGCATCAGGCAATCTAGATGGTTGCCGAGGGTAACAATTTTTTTTGAGAGGGGGGGGGAGAAAGCAACGAATAAATAGAAAGAAAAAACAAAATTATTCATAACGTACAGCTACATAAATATTCAAATCCATCAAGAATATACAGATATACCTTAAACGTATTACCTTGAATATTTGCGAATCTTGATTCTTTGTGTAAAATTAGGTATAATTAGATTAATCTTGATATAATTAATAAATTACACACTTTTTTCATTATAGCAGAGCGCATAGTCATATGCCAAGAGACACAGATCTGCAGTCACTACAGAAAGATGGAGTTTCTTCAAATAGTCTTGAAACTACGAAAAAAGTAAATCCATTTCCCCCAGACAACCAATATTTTGCTTACGCACTCTACGTGGTTAGAACCACAAAAGGCGGAATGGAAGTATTAAGAAACAAACGAAGATTAAAAGCCAGCGTTCACTTCAGTTCACCACGACAACTGCAAACATTTAAATGAGTTGGGAATGTCGAGCAGACGATCCAACTTGAAATCACCGAGGGGCTACATTATACCTAACCTAATCTGCAGGCTGCATTATAACAATTTTTCTTCCATGTTCTACGAAGATAAAATCCACGCAACCGGGCGCAGAGATCGTGACATTACAGGCCAAACCAAAATTCTATGAAAATTCTTCAGACTGAACACGGGAAACGCCTATTCTGAACGGTTTCCAACAAACAGTCGCCCTCTCAGCTTTATTTTAATGGTGTATTTCCGTCTTAAATTTTATATTTCACTGCGACCTTTCACTTGTCATAAACAGTACTTCAGCCCAACACAATTTTGCTTCCACTATAAACATACGAATGAAAAAGAAAGAAAAAATGGTACTTGTGGGTTATCGGGACACATCGCTTTAAAAATAGGTTAGGTTAAGTTAATGTGTGTGGATAAATGACATATGCTTGAAAGTTATTATATTTTATTTCAATAAATGACAACTAACCTAACCTATTTTTAAAGCGATGTGTCCCGATAACCCACAAGTACCGAAAAAATTATTTAATAAATATATCAGCGTGTTTAGTAAATCACGTAGAACAATAGTCTCAATTATCCTCTGCAAATAACTCAATTAAAAACAAGAGAAATCATAATCACTATAACTCACGTAAATTGAATGTTACGACCTGGCGGGCACATAGCGTTTTTTTTTTACAAATCGAGGGTTTGTGGCAACCCTGCGTCGAGCAAGTCTTATCAGCGCCATTTTTCCAACAGCATGTGCTCATTTCGTGTCTCTGCGTCACATTTTGGTAATTCTCGCATTGTTTTTTAGACTCAATGCTATTGCGCACTTAATAGCGTTAACATAACTTTTATATGCACTGGGAAACCAAAAAATTTGTGTGACTCGCTTTATTGCGGTGGTCTGGAACCGAACCCGCAATATCTCCGAGGTACTCCTGTATATTTTTTGGATTGGAGAGGAGGTCGATCAGTGTACAATCACAACCAAAAGTTATTATCCTCTGGTTCTTCCACTCATTCTCATTTTGCGAGATGCAACAATCGTCTGTCGTCACAGGCCAACAAACATGCATCAATCAGATCTGCACAAAATATATTACCACTTAAAGCTAACAAAGCGAATGTTCGACACAGCGACGTACTCACCTTGGCTGCAACAATGCTCACGCCCATGCCATTGTTAGACTTGTTCAGTTTGATGACTTGAATTTCAGGCTCTTGCTGCTGAGGCGGACATCCGCCCGACCTGTTGCTCAGGGCGCTCGGACTTCGAGCCTGAAACATCAATTACAATGTGAAACGGAATTAGGCATATTTTATTACGTTTATTATATTTTTTAGGCTACTTATATTCACCCTAAGAACCGAACTCTCCAAATAAGTTTACCAACGCCATCTGTTTACATCTAAGAGAAGCCGTGGCTACGACTTAACGTGACAATGCTCGCCACAGATTGGGACATACATGACGAAGGTACATTTTGATATATCTTTTCTAGAAAAATTGTATTTAATACAGGTAAAAACTTCATAAAGATGAAAAATGGGGAGAATTCAGGGAATACTTCCTCTGGTTCAGTTCGGAATCTTTTGTCTCCTCGTTTTCTATCTAAAAATCTGCAGATTAAAATACATACAATTATAATTACGCCAATTATTTATATGGGTTTGAAACTTGGTCTCCAGTCCTAAGCAAAGGACACATATGAAGACTTACCCCTAGATTAGGTTCATGTGTCATGTATATGGTCCACAGTCCGCTTGATGTGGGCTGCGGGTAAAAACTTCATAAAGATGAAAAATGGGGAGAATTCAGGGAATACTTCCTCTGGTTCAGTTCGGAATCTTTTGTCTCCTCATTTTCTATCTAAAAATCTGCAGATTAAAATACATAAAATTATAATTACGCCAATTATTTATATGGGTTTGAAACTTGGTCTCCAGTCCTAAGCAAAGGACACATATGAAGACTTACCCCTAGATTAGGTTCATGTGTCATGTATATGGTCCACAGTCCGCTTGATGTGGGCTGCGTGCTCATTCTGCACAGACCAGCATGCTGCAGGGGGGCCAGGAACTCCGCCAAACCCTGCGGCACACCGCGCACTACGTCGCAGCTGTAACCGTCTTCAGGGAGCAAGAAAGGCAGCTGTAACTCCCGCTCCTCTTCGAGTCTAACCTCCCGTCCATCCGAGCGAGCCAATTCATCTGCTACGTTCTCTGCCACCTGCGACCGATGCAAATTTCTTATTGAAATGCGGTCTGCAGTCCACTCATGGATGTAAATATTAAAAGGATTTGAGGTTAACACAGCGATGAGTCTGAAGATTGCGCCGTGTAGGCTGGTAGATGTCCATGAACGTTTCAGAGGTCCGTATTGCCTCCATCATCGGGGCGATGACAGAGGCAGCATGACTTCTGATATGTTGGTAGACATCTACCAGCCTACACGGAGCAACAAACCTGAAGACGGCAATCTTCCGACTCTGCACGGTTCAATACAAACACTGAAAGCCAAAAGTGTCAACCAAACTCAGCTATAAATGGAAAAACGTGACCTTCTCGTTACAATCTTGTGCATTCTAAACGCAAAGCAATGTGAAAGACGTGTGAAAGGACTTACGACATGCGATACAAGAACTTGGCATTCACCTCAGATGCACGTGCTGGTCCTTTAAGTTTTCATCCACTCGGATATTTTAAACTGCCTCAGGATGAGAAAACGGTAATCAGGAAGTGTGCAAAATAAATGGTACACAAAGGAAAATAAACAATGATCCATTTCTTACAGCAAATTATGAGCAATTAAGATAAACGGTGCAATTGCTTGAGAAAATACAGCAAGATGACATTCTGAAAGCAATCGCAATCCCCGACCACCACCTAAAATTATCTGAACGTACCCTCACCACGTTTTCGATCAGCTCGTGCGGCAGTCGAGGCTCATCAGGCGTTGGCTGGTATTTTGACAGAAGCGATCGAAGCTGTAGCGAGTTGAGTTTGAAGCACGTGGAGCTCAGTGTCGCCAGATCATCTGCGTTGTATTTTGGAGCCTACAGAAAAGGGCACAAAGCACGATTTATACCAGCAGAGCAGAGGGATTTTCAAACCACGACTGGCAGACCATGCTAAAACTTGAAGAATGTACTTTACCTTTGAACTCTACATTTCAGCCGTTGAATGTACCTGAGCCATTAAAATATCGTTCATCCAAGTAATATAATACGCCTGGCCAAGTTAATTAACAGAAACCTAGAGAACTTACAGCTCTCCGTGACAGTACCTGCAACAAATGTGCCGCTTGTATAATTCGAGCCAGATGGCAATCTGCGGCCAGTTCCAGCCCTTGTCGCTCTGCCCACGCCTCTAACTGCGCCAGTTTTGACTTCAACCTCAGGCCCCAGGTCCTGGTGCAGTAACACACGCCGTGGGGCTGCTGAGGATGCGGACTGGTAGGCGACGTCACCACCTTGTTGAATGACCACATGTTGATGAAATGGAACAGCTGTGAGAACAGCTGTATGGTCAAGGCTGCATTCACGCGGCATCTCCTTAGTAACGCCATCGCTGACGTCAACACCTGAAGGACCTATCAAGTCGAAAACAGTGTATGTAACATTTATTATCGAGCCATCAGTTTAAAATAAAGGAACTGATTTTTGAATGCAGTTTAATTAAAGATGAACGTAGCTATGGTAACGCCAACGTTGTTTAATCACAAACACAATCAAGGAAGGTGGTAGTTGTAGCGGCTAATATGGGTTAAAATCTTCCATACAGCATCAAGAATGCGCTAAAGCAAGTTCTCCTGCTTATGTGTCATTAAACAGTCACGGTGCGTTACTTCCTTATATTTCAATAAAACGACGAAGCGTGTTATCAGATACTTACTGTAGCCGCATTCTCATCCTCTGGGTTATCATCTCTTTCCGACATAAAGTGGGGCATTGCGGCTGCAAGATCACCTTGCAGACAAGACACGAGGTTCCTGCAAGAACACAAACGTGACATGAAAACTGTTGCAACTGTAGACGACGACAGAATTTTGAATCAGCGTACTCTCTTACACTACATGCACAACGCATTGTAATAAATAATACAGAGAGTCTGGAAGGCAGTAACCTCCCGTGAAATGCCAGTGTCAATATCCATCAGACCACGTGGTATTACATCCCAGAGGACAGCCACATTCGCACCCATCACCGTGAGAACCTCAAACCTCACTTACTTGAAAGCTATCTGCACGCAATCCGCCAAAATATCCTGGGCATCCAAAGAAAATGCAGAAATATGTCGGTCAGACTTCAAGAAGTGAAGAAGTTCCGAAGAATTTGCCATCCAGAACGCTAGGGACTTGGCATCAGCGTATCTCTCCTGCAACAAGTAACGGCAGTAGATGACGAAGGTGCGGAGAAGGAAACTAATTAATTACACCAACGGAGAAAAACCTGTCCTTACTCTCCTGTCATTATTTGGTCCGCTACCTTCCGAGGAGTTTATCTTTAAATTTGACTTCACTTCAGTTCCTCTTATTTCTCGCACGTACCTGTATGACATTGTGTATGATGGCAGCCACTCTTGCAAGGAGTACAGTGAGCCTGTGGGCTCGCTCAGTTGGAGTCAGTTCCGGTCTGTAGTGCGTCGAAGCTCGATACCTTGCCACTAGGTACAGCGTGTATGTCGGCGCAAGCTTAAAATGAGGTGCGGCAGGATCGAGGTCCGTCACCACGGCATGTAGGAACGCTTCTTCTGTTTCTTCACGAAACTCGAGTACTGCCGGGAGGATTGGATCCGTACCACGTGGATACCGTTCATAATTTGACAACCTGAAATACAGCCAGACGCAACCGCTACAAACACAGAACAGACGTATCGTGCTGTACGCTCAACCTCAAATCAATTTTGGTAATTTGTAAAGCCCGTCTCAAATGTCCGATGAATTTCCTATTCAGAAAGGTTTGTAATAGTTTAAATAGGTTTTAAAGAATAAGAGAGAGGACAAAAACCATTCAGAATCACTATTCTCATCATTTTCCCAGTATTTTTGTAAAAAGTCAATTTCCATACGCAAATACAAATCCATTAACATGTACGTACTATATTTTGGAAAATTAGTGACTGGGGAATTGTAATTAAAAACAGAATCACCTTCGTAATTGTGCAGGAAGCATGTCATCAATATCTACTCTAAACAGTGAGCATGCCAAAAACAAAAACAAAAATGTCTCCACCATTACCCACGTATTTATTACAATGCACCTTAAAATACATGCATGACATGCAAAACCACAAATTTCAACAAAAATTTAAATAACCGAACAAGTTATAATCGGACGTCGATAAGAAATCACATACTGAGAGACAGACTTACCTTAACACATTAAAAAAAAAATGATATGTGATGCGACGTCCTCACAGAATTTCAGGGAGTGAGAGATTTTTTGAATACATAAAGTCTGGTGGAAGACCGTCCACTGTGGAGTCTGATTTAACGTTTCTTATATCAGACTGAATTACCGTGTCTCTGGCGGAATGTAACATCCAGAGCAGACACATTCACATTCCTACTTCGGAAGTATTACGAAGCCACTGAAGAATCTCAGTTCCGTCTTTATATCCCAACATAAATTATCTTATTAATTATATATTAAATGCATAAAAACTTCAAATGGGTGTGATCCTGGTTGAATAAATTTTCTTCTCGTCGCACACTTCGGCGAAGCTGTTTGGTTAATATATTAAGCACCTATAATTTCTGTGAAATAATGGAATTACATAATTCACTTGTTCTGAGGTCTTCAACCAACACTTGACACGTCGTTACCACGTATCATACAGCTGGAAATGAGTCAGCACTGAAAAGGTAAGTTGGTTGATGATTATGATTACTTCCAGATAGCATTTTTACCTGTTTCCATCTCTGCTACTGCTGACTGATCTCTGCGATCGAGTTTCCTCCTTATTTCCGAGGCTCGACGTCGATACCGTCTCCACATTACCGTCTACGTCAAATGTCGTTTCGTAATTCTGAGACGTTCCGTTAGGACCGGTGGTATTAGCGTTGTGAGCAGGTGTCGCAGCTCCACCGTGACCGACGGTGTCGTCTCGTGACGATTGTCTGAACCGCACATCAATTACGACAAAACATGACAAAACATCAAGCAAAATCATGCAAAGTTTTACATTAAGTGTCACTTACAAAAGCACATTTATCATTAATTTATCTGATCTGTTTTACGGTTTATTTAACACAGCCGTCAACAGCTCGGATGATGTAGCATAAAATTAAAGGATGATTCAGAATAATAATAAATTAAAAATGATGTGGGAGGAAGAAGCCACGGACTGAATAAAGGTACTAGGAAGGTATTAACAGGTACTGAAAAACCAATAGTTGCCAACCGAGTCGTTTCAAGTGTACAGATGGACGTGATTTTAATAGGCTTATAAAACAGATTATACGACTCAGAACCGATTCAAAATACGCATCAGGAAGAATCAGCATTA